TGAAAAAGGGACAGAAGAACACAGATCATGAATCTTAACAGTGATCAAACATGGGATGGTCACTAAAGCACAACATTGTCCATTGCAGAAAAACATCTATATTGCTTGTGTCACCCACCACAGCTCTTGCAAGCTGAAATTCAAATACAGAAGACTGACATTGATACCAGGTAAGGAAATAACCAGCACATTTACATTCCTGCACCTGCCCTGCTCTGAGCAGGAGCAGCACCAAAATCCCACCCTCCTCCCCACTCTATAAAGCTCCCTTTCAGGACACTCATGAAACAGCAGCTGCTTACCTGCATCAAGCATTGGTTCAACAACCTACTTTTCCAGCACAGCAACACCACCCATCTTGGAGGATGAATATGTGTTACTCTCAAGAGGAATCTAATGTCACTTCATATGAAGCCCTGGCTATTGTCATCATCACATTTCAGGCACTTGCTGGCATGTGGATAAATGCTTTCATCATTTCTGTGATTTTTATTTCCTGGGTCAAAAAGAAAAGCTTTAACTCTAATGAGAAGGTCTTGATGTTTCTGGGATGCTGCAGGTTTGGGTACTTGATTGTCACATGGGTATATTGCTTTCTTTCAATAATTTATCCCATGCACTTTTATGTTCACCCCATCCCCCAAATAGTTGTAGCTGTTCAAAGCTTTTTAAGTTCTTCCAACTTGTGGGTTTCTACCTGTCTTTGTGTTTTTTATTGCATAAAAATTGCAAATTTCAGGTACACCTTCTTCATCTACCTGAAAGCGAAAATTGACAAGATTGTGCCATGGCTGTTGCTGGGTTCAGTGTTTTTCTCTCTGGTCGTCTGCATCATTGTCTATTACTTCACTGATAAAGCACACTGTAACAACTCCAATTCCACCATACTAGAAAGCTTATGGAAAATAGATGTCAGAATGAGTGAAGAATTTTTTCCTGTTTTTCTTATCAACGGCTTTGGATTTGTCACTGCACTCATAGCAGTCACCTTTTCCGTCCTTCTCATCTCTTCCCTCTGGAGACAAAAACGCAAGATGCAGACCAACTCAATGAAGGGACTTAACATGGATGCCTATATCAAAGCCATAAAATCTATTCTGTCCTTCTTCATCATTTACAGCCTTAACTTTATATGTTTGATCTTGACACTGATTTATGCCACAAAGGAACAAAATACTGCATCATTTCTCATTTTCATATTCCAGTATGCTTTTCCGTCTCTTCATTCTCTTATTCTGATTTTCAGCAATCCCAAACTGGAAAATGCACTGCTAAGGACTCTGCCCTGTGTGAAGTGCAAGGTTTGCAAGAAGTAGGAACTGTAATAAAAGCTGAAGCCCATTAAAAATGGGCTTGATATTTTGTTCTAAAACCCAAGTAATTTAATCTCTAATGCAACTCTCTGGCCAGTGTAGATGATACAGCTGTTCTATCTTCACCATCTAAGTTAAGAAAATTTCATTACAATTCTTTAAACAAAATTATTCTGAGTTAAATAAGTTACTAGTATTATTTGATTCAGATAATTCTTTGGGTTAAACTGTTAAATAATAACAAAGTAAATTAGACCTGGTACATGGGCTAGCTGCAAAAGGGGAATAATACTACTGCAAACCTCCTAAAACTTTGATATCTGCTGATAGAAACTACTGAACTAAACATGTTTATATCTATTTGTTGTTTTACATTTATTTCTGCTTTGACTGTCTACTTTGTAATAATATGAGCTGTATCACTATCTTGCATTGGTTTATAACATAAGCGTGAATATGTTGATCACTATTATTCACCAGAGGTGGTAACCGGCTTTAGCAATGCAGATATCACCTTGGGGTGGACAGGTGGGGTGGAAAGCCCCCTTACCACACCAGCCTTATGTGTCCTTTCTCTGCCCCACTTCACATGAAAATATGATTTCCCCTGCTCTGTGTGACTGTGCTCCTTCTCTGCTGTTTCTTTTTCATGAGATCTGCTGTTACAAATGGACTCTGGCTCAGTAGAACACTGAGGAAGGTGGGTTCTGTGCAAAATGTGGGCTGGGATGAAGTCAAGCTTTCTTCTTGCAGTGACCCACTGCAGTTGTATGGGGTGTTCATGCCAGCTGCTGCCAGCTGTGGGGTCTATGGAGCCTCTGTGAGGCAAGGTCAAGGCTGCTCCATGCCAAGGAAAGCCACTCCATATGGCTCCAACAGACCCACTGCAGGACACAGCTCAGCCCATCAGCAATGCTGGGAAAATATCCTTAAGAAGGGGAAAACCACTGTCCAGCAGTGAGGAGTGAGGGAAAATGTGAGAAACAGTCCTGCAATAAGCAGGGTCAGAGAAGGAATGGGAGGAGGTGCTCCAGGCACCAGAGCAGAGATGCCCCTGCAGCCCCTGTGCAGACCATGATGAGGCAGCCTGTGCCCCTGCAGCCCATGGAGGTCCACAGTGGAGCAGATATCCTCCTGCAGCCCATGGAGGACCCCACACTGGAGCAGAGGTATGTGGGTATGCCCCGAAGGACTGAAACCTGTGGAGAGGCCACACTGGAGCAGGCTTATCCTGAAGGACTGCAGCCCATGGGAGGGACCCATGCTGCGACACGGGAAGGTCATGAGAAGGAAGAAGTGGAAAAGACAGTACGTTACGGACTGACTGCAAGCCTCATTCCCCATTCCCCTGCACTGCTCAAGGGAAGGAGGTAGAGAAGCTGGGAATGAAGGAGTGAGGCTGAGAAGAGGGGATCAAGTCATGTGTTTTGGTTTTGCCTTTGTTCTTCATCATCCTGCTTTTATTTTCAATTGGAAAGAAATTAAATTGATTTATCTTAAGTCAAGTTTGTTTTGCTCGTGATGGCAATTGGTGAGTGATCTCCCCGTCTTCATCTTGACCCATGAGCTTTTTTGCATGTGAGCAAAAGACTGGTCCATTCCCTCTTCCTCTCCATCCCCACAAAAATGAAAGGAGAAGAGGTTAATAGGAAAGTACAAGGAAGTGTTCTCAAATCATCAGCTTTCACTCTTTTCTGGCTTTTCCTGCAATAGTAAAGCAAGAAAAAAACAACCAAAAAATTACATTCATGTTGTTCTGTAATAAAGAAAGGGTTCAAAGGGTTTGGTTCATCTGATCAAAATTAGACACTCACAGGACACTGCCTTTAGCTGTAATTGCACTTTTTACACCAGACGTCAAACTCTACTGAGTCCCACTTCCACAGTAGGAGACACTCTACACCATCCAATCTGTTGAGACACTCTGTGTCCAGAGAGAAGCAGATCTTAAACACCTCATCTGGCCACATGTCCAGCTTTAAAGGCCTTTAAAGGCCAGGCAGTACCACACTTCCTTTCTTTCCCTCTGTTACTCATGCAGTTGATCCTTTAATGTGACAGTCCCAATCACAAGACCATCTTACTCCCCACAACCCATGCAACATCATCCCTCAAAACCTCACATGGCACAAAACTCAAGCAGGCAAAACCAACATCTTCCAGATGTTATCACACAAAAGAATTCAGCCCAATTAAACCATGATGAAGATACCTTCTTCCACCTCCTTAAAACCCTTGTGAACATGATGCACAACACAGCATCAACCTCCTATGCTCCAGCCCCACGCAGCTGGCACTGGAGGAGACAGGTTACGAAACAGCACAGCCACAGTCCACAGCCCATATGCTAAAGGTCCTCTCTGGAGAGACACAGTGATGTGCCCAGCCCCAGGGAAAGTGTTCCTCAACTACAGGACACTCCACCAGCTGGCCTCAGGGCTAGGAATGGGTCTGTTTAGTTTATCAGTATGGCAACAGGCACTCTGTCCAACATGTGTTTCCACTTGCACTGTCACCAATTCAACAGTCAGGCCAACAGTGAATGGAGTTGATGTCTCACATGGCTTGGGAATTGCAAATCATAGAATGGTTAAGGTTGGAAAGGACTTTAAGATCAAGACAAAGCTGGGAGCTTGACTTTTTTTCCCAAAAATACGCATCTTGATTCATCCGAGATGCCCAGGGTATCTGAGACATCTGCATGCGGTTGGGAGCACAGGATCTTCCGTAGAACTTCAGAGTCAGTCTGAGTACTCGAGAGTATCTCTTATAGCTTAGACACCTCTGTGTGGAGGATGTGGAGGACACCTGTAACCAAGGCACTCCAGAAGCACAAGGTTTGGGTAGTGGAGGGGAAGCAGATGGGAAGGGAGGCAGACACACAATGGCAGGTGAAGCAGACACATAAAAGATGTCAGAAATCAAAACAAATGGCTGCCCAGTGCTGGCATGGAACAGAAAACTGCTTTGGGTCCAATTCACATTTTTTATGATTAAGAAGTGAAACAGCTAAAAATTATTTTCCCATGAAGAGTGTTGAAGAGCAGAGGGACAGCTCAGGGCCATTCCACAGCATTCCTATGAGCATAGACATAAAAATGGCTGGGGGCACTGCTAAAAATAAGGCAGTGCTCTAACTGTCTTGGCCGCCACGGGTGTTTGAGGGAAGCAATGAGAGTAAAAGGTCAACACCAGCACCTCCCCTTCAGCCAGAAGAAACAACTACACCCCACTTTCAAAGTGAGAGGCACCACCAGAGGCTACAAGCCCCTGCAGAGCCTCCTGGTGACCCAGGACCAGAAGCAAACAAGCAAAGGCCATGGACATCAGCAGCATGAGCAGAACCACAGTCCCACATGCTTTCATTAATCAGGATAAAACCATTTCCCTCTCAGACAATATGGGAAACTGCTGTCATTTCTGCAAATATACATTTCAGTGAATCAGAGTATTAGTAAATTTAAACATCCTCTACAGTTTTCTGAGATCTGACATGTACAGTCACACAGACAGAAAGAAGCACTTGTACATGCTCACTATTAACTAGAGCATTTGCAGTACGTCACAGGGACACATCCTTGAGGCCATTTGCTTCTGTTCATCCATATTTCACCCTGCAGATGCACCTGAGGTCTGCCAGGGTCTTTGCTCTGCTCTGCAAGCTGTCAGTGGCACCAAATAGGCACACTACTGCTTCCCTCTCTTTTTTGGACTTTTCTTTTGCGCAACAGATGTATAGTTCTTCCGAGAACATGGTGGGTTTGTCTTAAGTTCTTCTTTCTTGAGTTCCCAGTCTTCATCAACCTGGTCTAATGGGATTCCTTTCATTGCAGCTGTCCTGCGATAGTTTCTGCTCTCCACCTCTGCTCTGGAGAAGAAAGCAAGAGAGCATCTTCCGATACTGCGCACAACACAGTCACACCACCACTCATGAGCAGTCTATCTACATCGTGTATTGGTATGGTCAAAAGACTGCTGCCAGCAGTAACTAAGAAAACACTGAGGTTCATTGCAAATCTAACATCATTCATCACCCCAAGCGGCCAGGTACTCACTGAGAGTTGGGCTGAAGTGGGAAACCTTTGGTAAGGATCCAAGATTGGACTTTTACCATCAGAATCATAACTTTAGCTCTCAAAGACTGATCTTGTGAATTTCTGTGCTTTTAAATAGGCGTAACCACATTTAATGCAATTGTACGTGGGATATTAACTCACTGCAATGTTTCCAATTTCCTTTATTTTTTGTACAGCTCATTTGTAAGTACTAGAAATTTTTAACGTCAAATTGCAAGTACATCTACCCTTCACTTCCAAGTCACGCAACATACAATCATGGAATGGGTTGGGTTGCAAGGGACCTTTGAAGATCATGTCAACCACCAAGATTTAAGTCACTAGTTCCCTTTCAAAAAACTGCAAAAGCAAAATAAAACAAGACCTTTTTTTTTTTTTTATAGTATCAGCAATAAGCAGGTGAAAGTACTTAAGTGTAGAGGACAACCTGTATCCCCATGGTCTCTGTGGGCTGTGGGGGAATCTTCTCGTACCTTGGTGTTGCAGGGTTCTCTCTCACACTTATTTTCTCATTCCTCATTGCCAGACAGTGTTTTTTTCCTTTCTTACCTAGTTTTCCCAGAGGCACAAGTAGCATTACTGATGTGCTAAGCCATATCCTGATGTGAATCCAGCATGGTATAGCCCCAACCTCTCCTCACAGAGACTTCACCTGGACCCCACCACTGACAGGATCCAGATGTGGACACTCTTAGTGTAAATCTTATCCCAGGGAAGACAAACCCTTTCCTCCTACTGCAGAGGACTGATTTTTGTAGGTACTCAGTGTTTATGGAGGTCTGCCAAAAATACCGCTAGATACCAGGAAAAATCCTTTTCTCTGTAATACAGCAGCTCTGTCACATCAGTGCAATGCTGTTCTGGCTGAAAGCATGGAACAAAGCCAATGGTTCCACAGAGACGAACTGGCTTACTCTCTATATATACATATATGTTTGAGAAAGACGGTCAATGCCCCATTGTCTGACAGTGTTTAAGAGGCATTTGGACAATGCCCTTAATACATGCTTTAACTTTTGGTCATCCCTGAAGTGGTCAGGCCACTTCCAGCTGAACTATTCTATTCCTATACTGTTCTGTTCACACACACACACACAAACACACATATGAATGTGTATATGCCCTGGACTTAGAATAGCTGGAGCCTTTGGTGCACTCAACGCCCAGCACTTTGCAGAGAGCTGGTAGCAGGCACGGGCAGCATGGTCCCATCCTCCACAACTCCCACAGCATCCAGGTTAAAGCCCTTCTAATGCAAAAAAAACCCTGATGGAAATCATGTGTTTGTTATTCAGAATCAGCTGTGTTCTGAAGGCTGTTTCCTGTCCTTTGCATGTCCATGCAAACCTCGGTGAGTGGCACAGATACTCTGTAGCAGAATATTATTAATATTTGCATGTTAATAATATTTACATGTTGAAACATGTAATATTTCCATGCTGATGCAAACAGTCCTCGGCACAGAGCAGTGGCTCAGCCCGGGCAGGCAGCAGTATGTTCATGCAGCTGGCACACCTGGGGTCAGAGACACAGCGTGCAAGGATCATGGTGGTGCTAGATGGGGCTGAACTGGGGCTAAGGAAGGATTTGAATGCTCAGAGCCCTGTTTAGATACACACGTCTGCATTTGGCACAGACCCTCAGACTTTACTTTAAAAAATTGCCTTTTCTCTATTTTTGCATGACAGGCAAATATCCAAAACTGACAGTGATGTTCTGTAACTAAATAGCCCTCACATTTACATACCAATAACACAGACACCGTGAGCAGAGGGCAGACCTGCTCCGTGCTGCACAGTTTCACAGACCTGCTCTGTGCTGCACACATTTCATTTTCTGTCTGCAGAAAATGATTGCATCAGTATCACCCAGTTCCCATTGGAGCCACAGAGTGCCCTGACCATGGTATCACCTCTGGGACATTCTGCACACCTGAAGGAGGAGAAGGTAATTGTGATTATACTACAAATGACAGTAATTCATCCTAATTAACTCCAAGTTTGCTGATGTGAGGAGGTGGAACTGTTGTATGAGGGTAAAGGTGTCCACTGAAGTTGTAAATTATAGTGGTAGGACTTAAAAAAAGGGCTCCTGAGCCCAGTGATAACTCTTGGTTTGGGTCAGAAGTGACCTTAAAGATCACCCAGTTCCAACCCCTTACCATGGCCAGGGACACCTTCCACTAGACCAGGTTGCTCCAAGCCCCATCCAGCCTGGCCTTGAACACTGCCAGGGAGGGGGCAGCCCAGAGCAATCTGTGCCAGCGCCTCACCACCCTCGCAGTAAGTAATTTTTTACATGCTTTTTCCATGTAGAAAGTACTAGAATGAACCTTGCCATTGAGCTTTCTTAAGTCACACTTCTATAAATTAATATCAAAACCACTTTTGCTAATACCTTTGATGGTGATTCTAATTGAGCGACCCTAAATCACTCATTTGTGACCAAGAGGTGTAGGATTCATGAGAAGCCCAATCAGCTGCCGCAGCAACACTAACCATCACTACTCACCTTTCTAAGAACCTGGAGCAATCTTGGTGACCATAGATCTCCGCAAGCCTCCTGGGAGTGTCACCAAAGAGGTCGGCCGCATCCATGGCAGCATGCAGGGAATGAAGGGTGCGAAGCACCCCCAGCCTGCCCGCCTCGGCAGCAAAGTGAGCTGGAGTCCAGCCCACGTCAGTCCGCAGGGAATGCCGGGCGCCGTGGTCCACGAGGAGCTTGACCAGCTCTGACTGCCCTTGTGTTGGGCAGCAAAACAGGGAGAGAAGATGCACACACATTAGACTTCATACCATCAGGATGCTGAGGATGGTCACAAGCAGTTGATGATAATTCACTCAACATGCGATGAGGGATTTTACTCATGACCTGGCCATTTGATTTATCGAATAAATGGTACTCATTAGAAGATGCTGGTTTTTACCCCCAAACTAGACTGATTCCAGAAGAATTTTGCAACAAGCCAACGATACAATCAAAAATATTTCTACTAATTTCTGAACAGCATATCTCAATTAGTCATGGACCATTTGGCTATTGACTTGGCTATTGTTTGATTTTGGTTTTTAGTTCAACGCAAAATAAAATTTAAACGTTAAAAAAATGGAAAACCTGTGAACTAAAACGAAGGTTTTTTTGACAGGAGATAGAGAAACTACTTGTTCTCATTCACCTTCATATTTTTCTAACTTGTGGAATTGCTTAAAGAAGATAAAAGAAAGTTATTTCTACCTGACTGCACACTGCCTTGACTGAAATAGATAGCTCCCAATGGCACCGAGGCCATGCCAGTCTCTCATTATCATTTTCTTAAATAGCTCAGTTCCCTTTGCTGATGCCCAAACAAGTAATAATCCACCAGGGCAAAAGTAAAACATGGTGTCAAGTGTAAACCAGCAAATCACCCACTTGACTGCAGTGACAGATGTCATGATGTGAGATTCCAATGTGTAACAAACACCCTAGCATGGAGGCGTACGCTGTGTAAAATGATACATTATATATTGTTGCATTCATCTCTTTTTTGGGCTGCAGAGGCGTATTTGACTTTAACAGACACTCTGATGATGAAGGACCAAGTGGGGGCTGCAAACAACTCTGGTCCTGTGTTGCTCATTCAACCAGGTGGGAAAAAGGGAGGGCAATGCAAAATACAGAGTTTTACATTGTTTTGTTCTATTGGGTTTCATAAATACCTGGTACAAATACAGTGCATTTGGCTTTCTGCTCACTCAGGCAGGTGTACATGAGAAATCACTCCTCTGCACTGTTTGAAGTCACCTCTTAGAAAAGTAATATGGGGGACAAGCAGACATGCTATATGTACGTATCATGTAAACTGTAAATTTTCACATGACAGAATGAAATGCTAAAAAATCACTTCGATGGTCATCCCATGAATTATTTTAGAGGCAAATTCCCATTTAAATTTTTGTTTTCCTTTTCCTTGCTCATTAAGGAGAGAATGATCAGGGACAAGCTACGACTACCACCAGATGTAACTGTCATAATAGCAAGATGTAATTACAATCAGCATCACCTTTTACGATGCCAGTTTGCAGAGGTAACAGAGCAGGGGGTGGGTGCCCTTACCTTTTGCAGCAGCCCAGTGCAGCGGGGTTCTGTCGTGCCAGTCGGCATCCTTGTGATTTGGGTCACAGCGCCCCGTCCTCAAAATTTCATCCACCAGGTCATAGTCCCCCACAGCCACAGCTTCGTGGAGCTCTGTCATGCTGCACACTTCAGAAAGGTGCCTGGTGAAAGAGTGATATTTGATTAGTGGGTGTTCACTGATGTGTGAGCTCCTCTCAAGAGTGATTTTAACAGATCAAGCAGCATCTAGGTTAAAAATGAGACATGCACTGTGAGAAAACAGGATTTATCCAAATATAAGGAAAAATGAATGAGGGGGAAAAAAGAAAAACAATTTATCTTTAAACCAGTGGTCACAGACTGACAGTGATGTTTGGTTTGTAGTCACGGAAACCTGGAGCAAAGTGCAGACCTTTATATAAAGGACTTCAAGATAAAACCACACTGCATTTCTCAAGGATGTTGCTAACAAACAGCCAAGCTCAGGCCAAACTTTTGCTATGGGGTCTGTTAGTACTCAGTACCATGGAAACTGGCTCCTCCCTTGCCAGTGCTGCAGATCCATTATTTGAGGTGTTTCATTGCAATGAAAGAAAGGTCTGTGAAGGTATCTTCTGATGTTCGTTAGTGCAAATAAATGACCTATGGCACGTTGCTCAAAAATCTCATCTCCATACCCTTGCTTCACACATTCCAGTCACACACAACAGACCCCCAGGAAGCAATGCAAGCATCTTCAGCCCCTGCAAGGCTGTGGATTTCAATAACTGTACCACTGCTAGGGGATATTTCCTAGCTGCTTTGCTGGCAGGGAATTTCAGCAGCTTGCAAGGCTCACTATGTTATCCAACCATCCTGGGGATGGAAACACAACAATATTTTCTCCAGTCTGGCCAAACCATCATAGACTCATAGAACTATAGAATGGTTTGGGTTGGAAGGGACCTTAAAGATCATCAATTGGGAGAAAATGTGTATGTTTCCACATTGACAGCTGGTCCTGAGCTGGTTAGTCTGATCCCTTTCGTAAACCAGAAGCGTTTTAGGGTTTTTTCAGGCTTTTGCACTGCATTTACTCCATGAAGAAATTTTCACAGATTGAAAAGAGTGTGATTTCCACATCCAACATGTTGGAAAGAACCAACATCGGAGCTTGCAGAGGCTGATGTGAGGATACGTTTGCAGTGCTGGGGGCTACATCCTGGGAGTCAGAGGTGGATGGGGCCATCTCCCATAAGCATCCCAGCCACATCCCAAATCCAGGCCTGGAGGGACACACAACCATCTCTACCCTGCTTTCTTGGCAGAAAAAGATGAGATTACAAAGGTTAGAGGGGATCACGGCCTGCTTCAACAGGTACCCTGATCTGGGTGGTTGGACTGTGTAGCCCAGATACAAGACAAAGATCCACCCATGACATTTACTGAATTCAGCTCCTGCACATCAGGAAATATCTGACTATATTGAAAAATATAACAAATTTTGGAGCTCGTCAGTGGGCCACAGAAGCATCATTGGCTTTGGCATGTCTCTCTTACTTTAACCACTCATGCACTGCCTCCTCTTCATTGCTTCACACTAACCTTGAAGAACCTGTCCTTCAGATTAAACAAAGGTCTTCAGAGTTGTCTTTCAAAACCTTTTATTAGCATTAGATCTATCTTGAAAATGTTATGCTTTAATGCATCCAGCCCACCACTGAAATGAGTGCTGGACAAAAGTGCGGGGAAAAAAATAATAATCTTGGACCTTTTCATGCAACTTTCTTGTTCTTTTTCAAGGAATTGCCAACAAAATTCAAAGTTTAAAAATACAACTTAAATTTCAAGACCTTTGTGGTCTGCTAGCTTCAGATCATACCCACACACGTATATGGAAACAGAGAGGAAGAGAAGCCAATGATCCCACCCCTGGAGCTCACCAGCTCTCCAAGGAGACAGGCCACAAATGCAGCTTCATAAGCCAAATTTTACCTCCCTTCCCTCCCCTGCTGCCTCCCTTTGCTTAGCCTTGAAGCTCATATGGATGTTTCATCAGCTGGATCAACCTGTTGCTCTCTCAGCAAACTAATCTTTTATTTTTGGTGCTGGTTTTGGAGTTAATTCCCTAAACTCGGTGTTACCGAGGGGCAAACGCCAGGGCTGTGCAAAGGAGTGAGGGAGTGGGTGCAGATCCATCCCATCAGTAGGGACCTGCGCTTGATCCACCTTAAACTACTCCAGCAGTTACATCCAAACGTGAGATCGTCTTCCCTAGAGTGTTGCTATCCCCTTCTCATAAGGCCGGAAGAAAAGATCTGGATGTTTATGGAGGGACCTTGAGCCAAAGTGGGGTGCTCTCTCCCTGCTGCAGGCTTCCTCTTCTCAGCCGAAAGCGTCCCGTAAGCATCGCAGCTCCTCCGCAGGATGTTGCAACCTGGCTGGGTGGATTCCTCACTGGGAACCCAGTGTTTGACCTGCCACACTCGGCAGCACCAGAGGAAAGCCAGGAGAGCTCACAGCCACATGCCAACAATCCCATGCACAGACCCGTCTCTGCCGTGCAGGGGTACAGCCCAGAGCCTAACCAGCAGCGGGGTCCTCTGCGGCGCGCAGTGATTTTAGGGGATGGCTCCGTGCCAGGCACTTTTCCAGGCCCAGCGACGATCTCTCCCGGGAAGATTGGCTCATCTGAAAACTAAGGCAAAGTTTGGTCCCTCCCCCTCGAGGAGAGCCCGGCAGCCGGTCTGCCCGCCAGAGAGGCGTCCTCCTGCCGGAGCAGCCGACTCTCGCCAGGCTCTGGAGGGACGACGGTGGCCGAAGGGTCCATCCTGCTCCTCCGGCCAGCGGGACGGGAGCGGAGGGCAGCTGGAACGCTGCACACCAGGTATGTGGAGTGCCAGGCACTGCTACACGGGGAAAGACGGGTCCGGGGATAGCATGGCGGGGAGAAACGGTGGTGCGAGGGTGATTTTAAGGAGCTGGGTAGTTTCTGTGCAGCCCCTCACACAGCTTTGCCAGTGTTCCCGCTCCCGGGCTTCAGCCTGCTCTGCCGAAAGCCTGTCCCAAGTCCTCACAGGCTCATGCTTCTCCATTTCCTCCCTTCCAGCCCCTTATCTGGCCCCAAATCCCTGCGTGTCCCTGTGGAGGGGTCAGATTCGCTCCGGCTAAGCTGCACGGGGACACGGTGGACGTGCCCCTTCCTGCTGTGTGTACAGCCAGCATTCAGGGGAAAGGTGAATGGAGCTTTCCCGCAGGGAAAAGTAACCCACTTCCTGACACGGACATGCCCAGCATGGGGATGGGAAGCAGCAAACCCAGGCTACACCAAGGGAAGCAGACTAGATGGAAGGGGAAAAAACAATTCACAGTGAGGGTGATTAAACTCTGCTTCATGTATCCAACACCGAGACATGCAAAACTGAGGCAGCCCTATACATACCCTGCTTAGAGCAGGGGTTTGGACTACACGACCTCCAGTGGCCCCTCCCAACCTAAATTGTTCTGGGAAGCTGCGAGGGACAGAGCATGAGGTTGTGGGTGCTCTGCATTACAGCATTCATCTCCCCCAGACCCAGCATCTGCAAGGTGGGACCCTGCACCCTGGCTGCTGTTAGAGCTGGTAGGGAGAGAGATGGTGGTTTTAGGATGTGGTTTCCCCCAGTGTACTTTAAGCCCAATGAGCTCAGCTATAGGTGACAAGGTGGTGGACTGTAACGCCAGTCACACACTAACAGAGCCTGCCTGTACTTTAGCCTGTGACACAACCACGTCCAGGAGCAGCAGGTTGTGACTCTTCAGGGCAGGAACCAAGGGCAGCAACGGTGTCCGCGCTTGCACTTCCCAGCCTGGCTGACATGATGTACAGCAGCCGAGAAGCTGTTGTGACCTACTGCTGGGGATGTGCAGGATCCTCTAATGGGCAGCTCTAGGAGGAAACTGGAGATGCTCAAATCTCCACCTCTGGCTGTTGTTAGTGGTTTGCCTCCCCTTTGGCTCTGCCTGCTGGAAGTGAAACAATTAATGCCTCCAAAATCAGCTAATATAAGGGGGAAGCGACCTTTCTGCAGTGGAGTTCTGCTTGCAGGGAAGTCCCAGTGATGAGAAATTGCTCTGGTTCAATCTCCAGTGCCAAACCAGACACTTAAATTACCAAAGGGGACAGTGACACCTCCATCTGCTGCAGAGCATCTCACTGGGGACTGCTACTGAGATGAGCATGTGGAAGTACCCTGAGACATGGCTGGAAGGACCTGGCCTAAACCGGGATACAGGAGCGTCACCTGAAAGGCTGGGAATCACCCAGCCCCACCTTTGCTTCTCTGTCTCCAGTTTTCATCCTGAGAAAGCATGTACCCTCTTTCCCCAGCCTCACATGCCATCTCTGCTCATGGCGATGTGCTATCAACGAATCACTGAGGTCAACATCCCCCCTGTGCTAAGCCACACCAAGATGATAAGAATCATGGAATCACAGAATAGTTTGGGTTGGAAGGGACCTTAAAGATCATGGGACCCTAAAAAACCCCCCAGCAATACCCCCCCGGCCATGGGCAGGGACCCCTTCCACTAGAGCAGGTTGCTCCAAGCCCCTGTGTCCAACCTGGCCTTGAACACTTGTTGGATGGAAGCAGCTTTTAAAAAGTGCTGTGTGCTTGTTTACTGGAGGGAAAAAAAGTGTCTCACATCAGTGGAAAAATACACATTTCCATTTCAGTGACAGCCTCAGCCATTACACTCTGCAACACAAAAGGCTCAGTGTGAAGAGCTCTTTCCTTCAGCTCCCCCACGTTGGCCAGGCTCCGCTCCCCCGCTTTCACAGCCTTCAAATAAAGGACAAGCCAAGGTCAGGGGAAAACAAAGAGGGGAAAAAAATAAAACAAAGAGGAAAAACCCTCTATAACTGTAGGTGCTGGTAAAGCCTCCCCTGCTGCTGCCCACTATCCAAGTGAGAGCTCCGACTGCCTGTTTGCTCCGACAGCTCTTGCACTGCCCAGACCCCGCTGCAGCTCCGTCCTCCCCTGCAGGAGCAGCTGGCACCTCTCCATCCCCCAGCTGCTACAATGGGCACTCACGGAGGTGGCAGGGATGAGGTTTTGTCAGGCACAGGGAGATGTTGCCCCAACAGCAGCACCCCCATCCTCTGCTCTCCTCCACCAGTAACTTCCTACAAGCTGTATGGGGATGCTGAGCAGCCTGAGGAATGGCAAACCCAGTGCAGAGGGTGGCAGGAAGCAGCACGGTGACACCCACAACCCTGTCCTGCTGCTCTCATGTGCCTAAGCTCTCCCACTGCAAGCCCCCAGAGTGCTGGAGGGGAGAGTGTGCAGGATCTGGCTCTTAACAGCACAGTGCCAGATTGCCTCCTCACATGGACTGCAGAAAGGCGGTGCCAATTTATACCAACATTGGATCCAGCCTTGGAATTTAAGTGCCAGGAAAGGCTGCTGGAGCTGGTTCCTGTACCTGTCTAATCCCCATCTCCAGAGCTGCCGCATGAACTGCCTGACAAGAGCCACAGCACACTGGCTCTGGCAAACAAACCCATGAACTACAGGCCAAAACTACCATTAAACATGAGGAAGCCATCATGTGCCTGACAGCATTCACAAGCACCCATGTGGGCGTGCTGCTGTCAGATGCAACTTCCATTTCCAGACTGAGACAACACCCCATTTATTGCACTTGAAGTGGATCCAGTATTGTCCAGGGCACGCGTGGACTCCAGGTGTTAAAAATTTAGGAGCAGGACACTCATCTCAGACATCACCTATTGTACAACCAGTTGGGCTGCAGGATTCCAGAATTAGGACACACAGACTGGGGTAAAGATTGGACTTGATGATCTTAAAGGTCTTTTCCAACCTAGCTGATCCCTTGATTTCATGATAAACACACAGTCTGATGCAGTTCTTAAGTAAGAATGTAAGAATTTGATTTCCAATACTGCAGGAGGAAAGCTGGCGTGATGGATGCTGCTATCTCACAGTATCCATAGGAAAATCAATTCCCAGCACTTAACAGCTACAGGGTTTTGGGTTGTTTCTCTTCTACTACAGGTACTGAAGGTGTACAAATGATGACAAGCTGGGTTAGGACAAAAAGAACAGGTTTATGATGTAAACTAGAGAGGCTAACAGGGTCCAGGTTTGACATTTCTTTTTCTGTTGTTCCTTTGAGGAGTAGACAAACTGGTCAGAGCAGCGGTTTAGCATCTGAGTAGTAAAATGCCCTGTACAGGGCATGTCAATGCACTGTTATTTAATTTAATTCTGAAGCTGACAAGAAAGTTGGAGAGGGACGTTTTACAAGGGCATGTAGTGTGATAGGACAGGGGGGAATGGCTTTAAACTGACAGAGGGGAGCTTTAGATTAGGTATTAGGAAGTTCTTTACCATGAGGGTGCTGAGATGCTGGCACAGGGTGCCCAGAGAAGCTGTGGCTGCCCCATCCCTGGCAGTGTCCAAGGCCAGGTTGGACACAGGGGCTTGGAGCAACCTACTCTAGTGGAAGGTGTCCCTGCCTGTGGCAGGGGGTTGAGACTGGATGAGCTTTAAGGTCCCTTCCAACCCAAACCATTCTATGATTCCAAGTCCCCCACAGAGCAAATACATCATTTTTACCTGCACCTGAATTAGGCACCTTCTGGATTTCACAAGAAATCATACTGGCCTAGATTAAGAAAAGCCATGCTTCAGGTGCAAAACATCTTTTCGATTTGTATTTCTTACCATAAGCAATGTGCATGCTCCAAGAAAAACGTTTTTAAGGTGTTACAGGTGATGTTTTACTGGAATTCAAGTAAAAACAGGAGCAGGTCATAAGATAAGCAATGGGGTTTTCCCCCCCATCTCTTTTGCGTCCTTTTCTTAACATCTGTTAGTGCTTTAAAAGTTAATGCTCTGCTTAATGCATTTGGCTTATGAGACTAGTAGGAATTTTAAGAGTTTACTTTTTAAAAAACATTTACAAAATTTTTACAGCTTCTGGTCATTCAATGCCCCCAAACACCCCCCACCTAAACACCTTTTCGGTGCAGAAAAGCCACACTAAAGCATCCAGACCCAGAGCAGTGGCTGCAGCTGAACTCCAGCCCTCAGGACTTGGGACAGGCAATCACAGCTTCACTCTTAAACCTACTGCCAAGTTCTTTTGTAGCCCTGGGTAAGCAAAAGAAGGCATTTCTACCAGCACCCCCGCCTCCACCCCCCAGTTTATAACCTAGTAACAGCCTTGTAGCTATTAAAAACTTGCATTAAAAAAGCCTGTAAGATGACAAACAGGGCTTACTGGAATATTTAAAAATGAAAAGAAACTCTCAGAGAAACTCCATCACGAAACAGCACACACATTTCTTCAGGAACTTCTAACAACTGTTCTATTTTTGCCTTTGTGCTCTTTGTTTCAAAGGGGAATAAACTTCCCAACAGCCCCAGAAGGCCTGAGGTTCCCCTTAGGTACTGACTGGCTTCTGCGCTAAATGCAAAAGTTCCCCCCGATTTGCAGATCTAGTTAGGACAGTTTTTGCTCTGACACCTCCCCAGTTAGATCCTGCTGCATAAATGATGCTTAATTGTTAGCTGGAACCCTGTACAGCAAAGATGCTGAACTTAGAGTATCAAACTTCCCTTTACAATTTCTCATGAAAAATGAAGTCAGCTTCGCTTTTTCTTTTTAATTCAATTTTTGGCTAAAACTTTTACAGTTCCAGAAATGCAGTACTCGGCCTCCCTGTTTATTGCTGACCCCACACAATCTCTGCCTTTCCCCCATATACGCATTCCCTGGTATCAAGAAAAAGCCCTTCCAGGAGCAGCTCCCCCAGTCCCTGAGCCAACTGCAGGAGGAGCTGGCAGGGCCACCCCTTCAAAAAGCAGCAGCAAAGCTGTCAAACTCACTCTTAAACTCAATCCTCAGCTGCGCTTAAACCCTCTTCCAACTGCTATTTGTAGCAGCCAAACATTTAAACCCAACCGCATCCTCTCCTGCCATCAGGCAGTTTCACTTTATGGGAATGTATGAAAAATTTCTTCACAGAAAGGTATTAGAACAGGCTGCCCAGGGAAGTGTTCAAAAACCATGCAGATGAGACCCTCAATGATGTGGTTTAGTAGTGGTCATAGCAGTCCTGGGGTAACGGTCAGACTTGGTGATCTTAAAGATCTTTTCCAACCTAGTTGACTCTATGATTCCATGGAGTCGGGCTATATCCAGTGTTTTCTCAGAGCGATGGATGTGGAACTTTCTCTGTGCTGATGAATGGAGCTCTTAGGTGCAAAGGAGAGCTGAGACCAGAGCAACACGGTGCTAGGAGTAGGTTTCCTCTTTGCTTCCCTTTCAGGCGTGCTGGGGCGGGGGGGGCCGGGCTAAACATCTGAGAGTGGTACCGCCGTGTGTCTTTATTGCCACTCGTGTCCCAAGGAGCGGGGCAGGGGCGTGCGGGCAGCACAGGCAGGGCGGGCAGCGCATCCCTAAGCGGCCAGGTCGAAGTCGTCGCGCTCCTGGTTGTAGTCAAGCACCTTCTGCCGGAGGCGAGAGGCGTCCACCCAGGTGATGAAGTCCTCCACGGCGCGGGGGATGAGGACGGCGGGGTCGGTCACCACCTCGGGCCCCACGCGGACGTGGCCCTGCTCCACGAAGGTGACGGCGTGGCGCAGGTTCTGCGCCATGCGCAG